GTTCTTCATCATAGCATAGCTGTGACAAACCAAATCAAGCTTCTCAGTCAAGCTACTTTTGTCACCAGCCTTTGTGTTTCTGATAACACTTATTTAGTAATATGAAAGAGTACATATATACAGTAGCTCACCTACTTAATTGCTTTCTTATCTTTTAAAGTTGAACTCCAGGAATTATCTGTATTGCCTACTTACATTGGTCCAGCTTGGCATAAACTAAGTATGCATATCTCATACTTGGTGAGGCGCTGGGAAAGCTGTAAATAACTGTAGTAGTCGGAGCTACTGGCCCCAATTTTATGGGTCCTGCTCAGGTTCTGTGTGAATGGTGATACTACAGTGGTAGACACAAATGTCTGGGTCCTGCTTGAGTTCTGTGCAAGCAGCTTCCCTTGTGTACACACAAAACAGGGTGTTCCTCACTTGGCACTGCCAGGGCCATCTTTAATATTGATTGGACCCTGGGCAAGCATTTTTTTGGTGCCCCCCCCCCCCCCCATGCACTCATTACGGCTCACTGATTAATTGGTAGAGGTTACAGCTCATTATTTCTGCTTGCTGATTGGTTGCTAAAGGTTACTGTACATCATTACTGCTCAATTGGTTAATAGAGGTTACTGCACATCATTACTGGTCACTGATTGGTTGCTAGAGGTTATTGCACATTATTACTGCTAACTGATTGGCGGATAGAGGTTACTGCACATCAGTACTGCTCACGTATTGGTTGCTAGATGTTACTACACATCATTACTGCTCACCCATTGGTTACTAGAGGTTACTGCACATCCTTACTACTCACTGATTGGTTGCTAGAGGTTACACCAAATCATTACCACTCACTGATTGGCTGCTAGAGGTTATTGCACATCATTATTGCTCACTTATTGGTTGCTAGAGGTTACTGCACATCATTATTGCTCACTGATTGGTTGCTAGAGATTACAGAAGATCACTAGTGTTCACTGATAGGTTGCTAGAGGTTACTGAACATCATTACCGCTCACTGATTGGTTGCTATTGGTTTCTGTGCATCATTACCACTTACTTATTGATTGCTAGAGGTTACAGCACATCATTACAGCTCACTAATTGGTTGCTGAAGGTTACTGCATATCATCTCCTCACTGCCTGCACACCATGGACTGGGAAGGTGAGGGGTCCCACTAAGAGAAAACTCCTAGGGATTCTAACACTCCTAGAATCAGTGGTAGTGCTGGAGGGAGAGTGTGATCAGTGGCAGTGCTGGGTGGTTGATGATATCACTGGTAGTGGTGAGGGATGGGATCAATGCCAGTGGCAGGGGATTGGGATAAGTGCAGTGCTGGGGGATGGGATTAATGATAGTTCTGAGGGGGATGGGATCAGTGGCAGTGCTGGATGGGGATGGGAGGTGATATTTCTACATCCACCACCAATGTAAGAGTGGGTTTACACTGACCACCAGTGTAAGGGCAATTTTGCCCTTACCACCATTGTACAGGGAAATTTACACTGACCACCAATGTCATGGGGAATTTCCACTGACGACTAATGTAATGAAAACTTTATACTGACAACCAAAGTAATGGGGGATTTTACACCAACAACCAATAAACTATTACAATGGACACCAATGTATGGGGGAATTTGCAATGGCCACCAATTTAAGGGGGTCTTTTACATTAACAACCAAAGTAAAGGAGGATTTGACACTGACCACAAATGCAAGTTAGAATTTTTTACTGACTACCAATATAAAGAGGAGTTTCTACATTTGCCACCAATGAAAAGGGATTTAAACTAATGTAATAGGACCATTCACAGTGACCACCAACGTGAGGAAGGATTTACACTGACCACCAATGTAAGGGGGACATTCATACTGACCACTAGTGTGAATGGAAGGATTCTGACCATCAATGTAATTGAGACATTTAGCCTATGTTCACATTTGTGCATGAGAAAACTTGCTTTCCTGACACCACAGAAACATGCTGCCCTTTAGCAGATACACAGCAGTGCCTTTAATTGTTAATATATTACAAGAGGTTGCTGCAGGAGTGTCTGCTTTGACTGCTAAAACTGGAGAAAAAGGGGAGAAAGCAGTGATGAGTGACATACATATCTCCAGTATCTCCCAATCAAATGGAATTATAATAAATGAATTTATTTTAAGGGTCTGGACTGCTCAAAAAGCTTGGATATGCCAGTAGGCAGAGCTGAGGTTCTCTACAGACATTATTAAGCTTGTATTGCTTGTAAGTCATTGATAGAACCAACAAATGGCCTCACAGAAAACATAAAAGATTTCTTCTCTTAGACAATGGCAGTTATAACTCTTTAATATTTTTTTAAAGACTGTAGCATTTCATTAGACTGTTGCACTGGGGTGTTGAACTTGATTATTCTTGGAACCATTATGTATAATGTAAGAAATGGTAAGGGTTTCCCTTTGTATTGTGGTTTCCTACAGTTATGACAAAGGGTCCTCTCTGGCACAGAACAGGTCCTGCTGTTTGAGTGAGGTCAAGTGGCAAGCATAGAGATGAGACTATATTGATCCAGCACCTTTGCGCACACACACATGCTTTTCTGCTTCACTGCAACAAGGAAACAGGAAACTTTATTTAAAAAAAATAATAGATGCAGCTACAAAACTCTTTATATTAGCCCATTTTGGATCTTAGTTCTACAAATCTGTTTCACAAGGGTTGGAAGTCTTTGCATCTCATTCCATGGCTCTGGTTTTAATGCTACGCGAGCAACATTGGAAAGACGTTTGGCTGGGATTCCTTTATTGCTTCTGGTGGATTTTCTGATTGAAGCATCTTGTGCCTTGGTTTCTTCTTTTACAGTATTTGGATTGTCTGTATTGATTTCTTTTTCTGGGTTACTTTGTTGCTGATCTTCATGTGACACTAATGTGGAATTTCACTCAGTTTAAAGCATTTGTGTTAGTTCATGAAATTTTGAACACACTGAAGTTTCATTGACAATTACATTTTTTACTGGTGGTTACCTTGTTTGTGTCTTGTGTAGAAATTTGTATCCCTTTTTGAGATTCATTGTACCCCACAAGAAAACTTTCTTTTACGTGAGCATCCCAGTTTGTACATTTTTCTTTTGGGATGTGCACATAGGCTTTGCTTCCAAAAACGTGTTAGATGGTTCAAATTTGGGGCCTTTCCATTCCACGGTACATTTGGAGTTTTTCTGGTAGTTGATTTTAGAGATAGCATGTGGTGATAATTGCCTCCCCTCTATATGCGGTTGGCATATATGCATCAAACAGCATGGTCTTCCACTCTCACATAGAATGCAGTTCATTCTTTCTGCAACTCGGTTTTGTTCTGGGCTGCATGGAACAGTAGTTTGAAATATTATGCCATGCTTTGTGAGAATGGCCTGCTTGTTATCATTTGTATATTCAGTGCGTAATACACTCATCATTTTGCTAAATTTGTTGCTTGAGCCAGATACTGTTCAAGTTTCTCTGGTACTTTACTTTTGTTGTTAACATGTATAATGTAGTATACCTGAAGTAACCATCTATAAAAGAGAGAAAATACCTCTTCTATCCTGGAGTCAATTTTTCCATTGGACTACAAAGATCTGAATTAATTAAGTCCAGAGGTTTTTTAGCTCTGCTGTTACTCTGCTTTGGAAATGCTTTTCTTGTCATTTTTCCTTTTATACAGCTGGTGCATTTCATAGTTTGATAACATGGACTAATTTTTAAACCATTTGCATAGTCATTCTCAGTTAATTTCTTTATTATGTCAGGACTTCTGTGCCCAAGTTATCTGTGCCATGTGTGAATGCAGTATTAACCACCTCATTGCAGTTCAGCTGATACAGTTCATCTGTAATTTTACTCTTTGGAAGTAAAATATTCCCTTTTGTGATGGCACAACTGTCACTTTGGAAGGTCACTACATTGCCTTGTTTTGTGAGCTTTCTTACTGACAAAAGATTATTTTCCATAGCAGGGACATACAGGACATTTTTCACAGGTATCTTTCTGGTGAAACTCTGGCAAATAGGACAGTAAAGAAAAACATCTCCTATTCCTTCTGATTCCATTATTTGCCCATTAGCTGTGGTAATTTTTTTCTGTTTTACTCTGGTCAGGTTGAATAAAGAAATTTCTGTAATTTGTCATCGTCTCATAACTTCTGAATTAACACACTATGCCTGCGAAGATGAGGTGCAACTTTTGGATTGAAACACATATTCATTATCTTGAGAAAAATCAGTTTCTTCCTTCACACTTTTGGCCTTTTGTAGTTTAATTTGTTTTCGCAATCTAGCTTTACAGACTCTGCAATCTGCTTCTAAAAGGCATTGTTTCTTGTACATATAGTATTCATGTGTTTCTTGTTGCATTTTGCTGTTTTTTATTCATATTTTTCATCTTTAACCACTTGCCTACAGGGCACTTATACCCCCCTCCTGCCCAAGCCAATTTTCAGCTTTCAGCGCTGTCACACTTTGAATGACAATTGCCCCCATAATTGTACAATTGTACCCATATGAAATGTTTATAATTTTTTTGAGACAGATAGAGCTTTCTTTTGGTAGTATTTAATCACCTCTGGGTTTTTTATTTTTTGCTAAACAAACCAAAAACCACTAAAAATTTTGGGGAAAAAAATAGTTTTTTTTCTTAGTTTTTGTTATAAAATTTTGTAAATAAGTGATTTTTCTCCTTCACTGATGTGCACTAATGAGGCTGTACTGATAGGCACCGATAGGTTGCACTGATGGGCACTTATAGGTGGCACTGATGGGCACTGATGAGGAGGCACTGGTAGGTGGCACTGATGGGCATTGACTGGCATCAATGATGGGCACTGAAAGGCTGCACTCATATGGCACTGATAGGTGGCACTGATAGGCGGAACTGACTGGCACTGTTAGGTGGCACTGATATGCAGCACTGACAGGCACTGATAAGTGGCACTGATGCACACTTATACACGGCACTGACTGGCACTGGTAGGCGGCACTGACTGGCACTGATAGGTGGCACTTATTGGCAGCACTGATAGGTGGCACTGACTGGCATTGATAGGTGGCACTGAAAGGCGGCTCAGATGGGCACTAATATGTAGCATTGATGTGCACTGGTAGGCACTGGTATGTGACATTGATGTGCCACTGATGGGCACTGGCAGGTGGCATTGATGAGCACTGACAGCTGGCATTGATGGGCACTGACAGGTGGCACAGCTGGGGCTACACTGATCATCAGGGCACACTGATCATCAGTGCCCTGATGATCAGTGTACGTGTTCCCTCTGAAGAATGCTGATCACCAGCTCTCCTCACGAGCTGTCAGCGTGACAGCTCGTGAGGAGAGAAATGCCGGTAACCGGCATTTCCTTATTTACATGTGATCAGCTGTGATTGGACACAGCTGATCACATGACCGAGCCAACGTCTTCAGCTCTTTCTGTTGATTGGTGATCCGCTGTGTCTGAGGGACACAGAGCACTGGCGATCGCCTCGCTGCACGCCCCCGGAGCCGTGCACGCGCGGTTAGAGTAGGAGGATTTCATATGACGTCCTCCCAGAATGAGAGAACTACCTTGCGCCTGTCATTTCCTTATATGGCGGGAGGGAGGCGGTTCAAGCAGATTCTGTGACAGAAGTACATTCACTATTAATGCTTTATTAATGTTTTAAGCCTAAATTCACCCATAAACTTGCTTTTAACCTATTCCAATGTCAGTTCACCATCTGGACATTGCATCAAGTGCGTTTCATACCTTTCTGGTAAACCACTAAGTAACAGTGCAGCGACATAAAAATCCTTTATTTTTTCTCTTATACCTCTCTGGCATTAGCTTGGTTTGGAATACTTTTCTAATCAAATACATTTTGTTGCTGAGATTAGCGCTTTCATGCACCTGTTGTAATCCTTCCCCCATTTCTTTAGCCATTTCACACTTACATATACAGTATGTGTGATTTGATCATCTTCTATGCTAAGAGAGATTGTGCTCTGAGCTTTCTGATCTTTCTCTGTCCACTCACCTGAACGGTGTTCTGGCCTGACTTGATTTATATATTACCACATACCCTCTCTTATTAGCAGCATTTTCATCTTGAATTTCCAAGACTGGTAGTTCTGGTTTGTCATTTTTGTAAATGAAAGCTTTGTTGCAGCTATGTTATAGGACATTTTCCTTTATTCTGTTGCAGTCTTCTTTCTGTTGCTGTATCTTGCAATTATTAGCTGTAGCCAGCTATGACTGGGCCGGAGGGACTGGGCCCAAAACCTGTTAGAAATTCTGTATATAGCCCTACAGAATAGACAGTGCACAGTCCACATGTGCTTTTCTGCATCACTGAAACAAGGAGACAGGAAACTTTTTCAGGGAAAAGTTATAGAGTATATCATAGATGCATTATAAACCCTAATAGCTGCTGGTTGAAGAATAAATCTCTACTGAATACTGACGTAGTTGTTGCACAAAATAAATGCACACTGTATTCCAACAACCTTAGATTAGGGATGCACCAAAAGTTTGGTGGCCGAAACGTTTCAACCAAAAACACCACTTTTGGCCGTCAGCCGATATTGAAAAAAAGCACCGATACAGGTGCCGAAGAAACCCCGCTCCTCATCGCCGCCCGCCACTGCCGCCACCACCCACTGCTCAGTAGTTCTCAGCCTTACCTGAGAAATCATCGAATGATTCCACCTCTGGGCATAGAAATTAGTGAAGGAAATATGGCCTCCGCTCATCTCTATGCCCTTGGAGGACCTGAGCGATGTCACTTCCGACTCTGGCCATTTTTTTAATGCTTTTTTTTGATCCCTATTGACCCCATATCTCTCCATAAAGAGGACCTGTCACTAATTATTTCTATCACAAGGGATGCAAGCATTTATTGTGATAAGAATAAAAGTGATTAAACTTTTTTTACAGGGACAGTGGAAAAAAACCAAAAAAAAATTAAATAAATAAATAAAAGTTTAACGTGCCCCTGTCCCTGCCCCCACACATAGTGGTGAACATATATGTATGCCATGCCCACATATGTAAATGGTGTTCAAACCACACACGTGAGGTATCGCCACGAACGTCAGAGCAAGAGCAATAATTCTTACACTAGACCTCCTCTGTAACTTTACACTGCTAACCTGTAGAAATTTTTAAAGCATCACCCATGGAGATTTTTAAGTACCGCAGTTTCACGCCATTCCACCAGCGTGCGCAATTTTAAAGCGTGACATGTTGGGTATCTATTTACTCACCTTAACATCATCTTTCATATTTTACAAAACAATTGGGGTATATATTTTTCTTTTTTTAACAAAGTATATATATATTTTTTTTAAATATTAATTTTTAAAAAACTGCGCATTTCGGTTTCAGTTTTCAGCCAAGTGCATTTTGAATTTTTGGTTTCGGCACCAGAATTTTCATTTCTGTGCACCACTACCTTAGAGAGCAGTCAACAGAAGTGCATAATGTGTTTGCTAGGCTAGTAGTACAGAGGAACATTGTAAGAGTTGGTAAATGGGCATTGGTATAATCTAACTGGAGGATCGTCAAAACTAGCAGACTGTGAGACCAGATGACGCAAGAAGTTGCTGGTGGTCCAAATCCTCCTGTTTGTTGCAGATATCTGCCTATACCCAAGAGCACTGGGTCGTCATAGGAAAGTGTGCAGAAACATATAAAAAAAAACACTAATTATGACTTCAACATAAAGCAACATCAGAAAGTTATCCTTTTGTGAGATCAGAAGGTATTTATGAGGCCCATCTCATCTTACAGGTCCAGCTTTCTTCCTAATTTTTGCTACCTACAATTACACCCTAATTGGTTTCCCTGTGCTACAAATATGCTTTTTCTTTCCTCTTGATTTAACACATGACTTAATACAGACTGCGAACTGGGCCTGCAGAGTATTGCTACATCCACCATAGCCTACAAACGATACAGCTTGCGGAGCATTTCCCTAAGTCAATATTACACAGCCAGATCAGCCCCTTTTCTCAAGTCACTTCTATCTCTGACATGACGCACAAGTCAGCATATTACGCAATACATTGCATGTATGTTTGGCCTCTAGGGTTCGCTGGTTGGACCATAACCCCTGAATGTCAATTATTTACATGCAAGAGGAAAAAAAACACTTGAAATATTCACAAGGTGTAAAATATTCACCATCCAGCAGTCTGTTCTGCTCCCTTTCCTGAGGACAGTGTCTTATCCTCACCCCCAGGCTGTACATTGTGTTGAGTATCTACAGGAGCTGCTAGTAAAGCTGTGTGATGCTGAGCTGATAATGGTAATGAGCTGTATAGTGAGGAGCAGAAGCTCTTTGTAGCGATAATGAACACACTGCCCTGTGTCATCATACTGTGTGATACTAACTGTAATAATGAACTTGTCACTGTATAATGCACACTATCACCATACACTGATAATGAACATACTGCCCTGCTGTTCAATGTCATTGAACAAGTCCATTCGCTGACAATAAATGCTGGGCATCGTGTAAAGCTTAGACACGAATTAGTATTTCTTGCCACGATTAATAATCACTTGGCATTGTATGCCGATACTGCTTGTCTAAGTGCTACTTTAATAAATGGGCCAAAGATCCACCAGGATGTGGGGGGGGGGGGGGGGGGGGGGGGGTACCAAGAGCCTGACAAAAAATAGGAACTCATATCTCTATGATATAGAAGAAATCAAAAAGATGTCTTGTTTTAAAGCTGAACCTCTGGCAAACATCTAAATATACATATAAAATACATGTTTTACCTGTTAAAGGATTTGGATTTTGTTTCCATCCATTTCTGAGATTTACACTGTTCTCCCACACAGAGCAGCCCTGTTTGGCAAGGCAGAAGACTTTTTCTCTACTACAGTTCATTACTAGTTGCAGGTCTTGTCCATCCCCAGTTTGAACCCAAAAGTGAAATAAGAAGCAGTACACTGATAAGCTCATCTTGCTGTCACCTCCTATCAGTATATTCATAGCACGTGAGCACTACAGCACAACTAACTGACTGGCTTCTTGTGTTGCTTATCCCATTGCCAATCTAAGGAACTATAAGAAGCTGATTTCAGGTCAGATTTAGGTATTTACACTGTTTGCATATGTAGCCACCTTGCTGTAAGCCTACGTTTAAATTCACCATTGCTAGGCTCTAATCAGCCTAAACTGAATTGATAGTTTGATATTCATTTGGTCTCCCCTAAGCCCAGTGTTATTTTTTGCTTCTGCCTGCTGCTGGGGTGTGCCCCAGCAAATAGTGCAAGATGATTCAGTAATGTCGGCCATAGACGGGTCGAAAATCGTCCGATAAAAAAATCGGCCGATTTTCGCACCGATAGTGGGTTAATTGGTCAGCCGTTTTTCGGGGTTTTTGCACATTTTTTTTTATCGGGCATGTTGGAAAATTTTGCGCCCGATTTTGACGATCGCCCAATTTTCCGGGCAATGATGGGCAACTCAGAGAAGAAGAAAAAGAAGAACATTGTAATCCAAATAATGTATTACAATGTTTTTATTTGGATACAAAAGGATACATTTGTTGCAACTGCAAAACATTTTCATATAAAAATATAATAGCGGACTGGAATTCTTCTGCTTCTTCTTCTTCATTCTTATGTATTGCTGTCACATTGTATGGTGTGCTCCCCTGTCTCTGCAAGGGACAGAAGTTATGGGGTTAATGCCGGCCGTAGATGGGACGAAAATCGGCTGATTTTTTTAACATTGGTGGTAACGTCGGCTGATCGAACAGCCAATGTTCGACCCGTCTATGGCCTGCTTAAGGCTGGGTAATAAATACTTACATCTCCCTGGCCAACCACTAGGAGGTTTATTGCCAGTGGTGCATGCTGACAGAGGATATGAATATTTGGGTGTGACCTTATGAAGCTCCCTTCCCCCCAGGCTTCCTACTTGGGTAAGGGTGCTTGCTGGAAGTCTTCTTCTTGTAAGCTTTCTGCCAAGGGAGGACACTCATGTGTTCATGAGACACAGTCTTGGGCAACGGCTTGCACTGCCTTGGTGTAGGTGGTTTTCTCTGAAGGAGTGGAGCCAATACTGGGAAGGAACTTTGGCTGAAAGTGCCCAAGAAGCTGGAGCTTGGCCTGGAACTCACAGGGAGTCTGGTGTCTCTGTAAGCCAATGTTGCATCTGCTCTACAGTCAAGTTCTCAAGAATTAAAAGATCCTGGTGTGACTTGAAGGTCCTCTTACCTGTGAATGTTGTGATTTTCTTGGTGTCTTTCATGATCTTTGGATGTCCTGTATCCTAACCTTCTCTGCCCGAGTTCATTGTGGCAAATAAACTCTGAATGTTAACTCTAAAGTGACTGGTTCCCATTTGAGCACAACCAGGGGCGGACTGACCATTTGGAAACTCGGGCAGTGCCCAAGGGCCCGGGGTCAGTAG